AATCGAAGCAGTAAGAGAACGTGGAGGACAAGACTCATTCTCGACTACGCGCATAGCACAGCGCTTCATCCGAGTAACAAGCGCACGGCGCAGGTCTGCAGCGATGACGTCGAAGGTTTGAATAGTGGGATATGCCAAACGAATTTCAGTAGCCAGGCAAACCGAATCCGGCGCAATGGTCGACATGCAGTATTTGGAAACTCCGGCAACCCCTTATCTCTTAGCTCACACGCGGCGCGCTGGAGTCCGGCGGTCGATGGCTGGCAGTTCAGTGCTACGCTGTATTGCCGGGAAATCGAAACCAATGCACAAGGGCACACAGTTACCTAATCTATGGCTTCTGTGTCATATACTCTGTAACTCTGGACCTGCCGCAAGGGCCGCGGCTCAACAGCCGTGCTCTGACCATTGAAGCACGCCCATTAGTAAAAGCACGCGTGGGCATTAGTATCGAGATACTCTGACCGCGCGAAGGGAGATACAAACCTAGGTATAGAGCTAGTACGCTTTTAAGACCCAACTGAAACTACAAAACTGCAAGCAACAGGACACTACGCGTTATGTGAGCCGTTAGATGCCTCCGAATTAGGTGCGTGCTTAATGTTCGCGCGTGTGGCGTAAAATCGCGTACTAGGAAGCCAAGCCGTGCCCTCGTGGTACGTGCCTCGAGCTGAACCTTTAAAAAATACTGAAGATATTAAAAAGTCTATAAGATAAAGCGCATCTTCATAGAAATCCACAATTTCATATCTCTCACATATATAAAATGTCCACAATTGAATTTTTTGAAAGATTCTGAAAATTAGAAAATTCGCCTGAAATGTTTTCACAAAAACAAAAAAGGCAAATATCAACGAAAGTCAGTGAGAGGAAACGGGTTAGAGCACAGAGTGCGCTTAGAGTTCGAATTGTGCTCTTGAGCAGTCTAGCGAGAATTTTTTAGGAGAAGCTACTCGTGTGGAATCTGCTCAGATTTGTGGAGGAGATTCGTCGACACTTCGTCTGCAGCATGATAGTGCGAAAACACATAGGAAAACCTGGTAGAACTACAGCAAATTTCGCCCGGTTCCTTGAGAGAGCTTCAGGAGGGCTTGTGTCTGATCCAGCTCAGCCCAATCTAATCGAGCCCAGTCCGATCCAACCCAACTGAGCCCAACCCAACGCAACCAAACCCAACTCAACCAAACCCAACCCAACCCAACCAAACCCAACCCAACTCAACCAAACCCAACTCAACCAAACCCAACTCAACCAAACCCAACTCAACCAAACCCAACTCAACCAAACCCAACTCAACCAAACCCAACTCAACCAAACCCAACTCAACCAAACCCAACTCAACCAAACCCAACTCAACCAAACCCAACTCAACCAAACCCAACTCAACCAAACCCAACTCAACCAAACCCAACTCAACCAAACCCAACTCAACCAAACCCAACTCAACCAAACCCAACTCAACCAAACCCAACTCAACCAAACCCAACTCAACCAAACCCAACTCAACCAAACCCAACTCAACCAAACCCAACTCAACCAAACCCAACTCAACCAAACCCAACTCAACCAAACCCAACTCAACCAAACCCAACTCAACCAAACCCAACTCAACCAAACCCAACTCAACCAAACCCAACTCAACCAAACCCAACTCAACCAAACCCAACTCAACCAAACCCAACTCAACCAAACCCAACTCAACCAAACCCAACTCAACCAAACCCAACTCAACCAAACCCAACTCAACCAAACCCAACTCAACCAAACCCAACTCAACCAAACCCAACTCAACCAAACCCAACTCAACCAAACCCAACTCAACCAAACCCAACTCAACCAAACCCAACTCAACCAAACCCAACTCAACCAAACCCAACTCAACCAAACCCAACTCAACCAAACCCAACTCAACCAAACCCAACTCAACCAAACCCAACTCAACCAAACCCAACTCAACCAAACCCAACTCAACCAAACCCAACTCAACCAAACCCAACTCAACCAAACCCAACTCAACCAAACCCAACTCAACCAAACCCAACTCAACCAAACCCAACTCAACCAAACCCAACTCAACCAAACCCAACTCAACCAAACCCAACTCAACCAAACCCAACTCAACCAAACCCAACTCAACCAAACCCAACTCAACCAAACCCAACTCAACCAAACCCAACTCAACCAAACCCAACTCAACCAAACCCAACTCAACCAAACCCAACTCAACCAAACCCAACTCAACCAAACCCAACTCAACCAAACCCAACTCAACCAAACCCAACTCAACCAAACCCAACTCAACCAAACCCAACTCAACCAAACCCAACTCAACCAAACCCAACTCAACCAAACCCAACTCAACCAAACCCAACTCAACCAAACCCAACTCAACCAAACCCAACTCAACCAAACCCAACTCAACCAAACCCAACTCAACCAAACCCAACTCAACCAAACCCAACTCAACCAAACCCAACTCAACCAAACCCAACTCAACCAAACCCAACTCAACCAAACCCAACTCAACCAAACCCAACTCAACCAAACCCAACTCAACCAAACCCAACTCAACCAAACCCAACTCAACCAAACCCAACTCAACCAAACCCAACTCAACCAAACCCAACTCAACCAAACCCAACTCAACCAAACCCAACTCAACCAAACCCAACTCAACCAAACCCAACTCAACCAAACCCAACTCAACCAAACCCAACTCAACCAAACCCAACTCAACCAAACCCAACTCAACCAAACCCAACTCAACCAAACCCAACTCAACCAAACCCAACTCAACCAAACCCAACTCAACCAAACCCAACTCAACCGAACCCAACTCAACCAAACCCAACTCAACCAAACCCAACTCAACCAAACCCAACTCAACCAAACCCAACTCAACCCGACCCCACCCAACCTGACCCGCGTCAACCTGACCCACCTCAACCTGACCCAACTCAACCCGACCCAGCTCAACCAACCTGACCCAAATCAACCTGACCCAGCTCAACGAACCTGACCCAGCTCAACGAACCTGACCCAGCTCAACCTGACCCAGCTCAACCTGACCCAGCTCAACCTGACCCAGCTCAACCGGGCCCAACTCAACCCGGCCCAACAGACTCAACCTGACCCAACTCAAACTGACCCCACTCGACCTGACCCAACCAATCCAAACCCCAACCGGCTCAACCTAACCTCACGCAACGCAATTCAATCCCACTCAGCCCAACCGAACCCGCCTCAGCATAGGTGACCGCACTCAACCTAACCCCTTAGAGTCGCGGGCGCCCTCTATAGTGGCCTGCGGGAAAACTCGCGGGGGCTGTGCTCCACCCTCATCAGCTTCCCTGACCCTTCCGCCCCTGCCTCCTTGGCCTCTTGTGGGGCCTCCACGGGTCTCCCGGCAGCCACAGGCCCCCCGGTTACCTTTGCAGGGAGACCACTTGGGACCCAAAAGGAGGCAGGGGCGGGAGGGTCGAGGAAACTGATAGGGGTGGAACACAACCCCCCACGAGGTTCCTCGTAGCCCGCTATAGAGGGCGACCTCGGCCCTACAGCCTAGCCCGTAGCCGACCCAGCCCGGCGATACTCCACCGGACCCAGCTCCACCGGACCCAACTCAGCCGGCCAACTCAACCGGACCCAGCTCAACCGGACCCAACTCAACCGGACCCAACTCAACCGGACCCAACTCAACCGCACCCAGCTCAACCTCCCCCAGCCCAACCCGACCCAACTCAACCCGACCCAGCGCAAACTGACCCCACTGAACCTGACCCCACTCAACCTAACCCGCCTCAACCTGGCCCAACTCAACCGGCCCCAGCTCAACCTGACCCAACTGCGCGCAACCTGACCCAACTGGACTCAACCTGGTGACCCCACTCAGCCTACAACCTAACTCCACTCAACTTAACCCCACTCAACCTAACCCAGCTCAGCCTAGCCCAGTTTAACCGAAGTGGCCCAGCCTCACCAGGCCCAACTGCAGACAACCTAACCAAGCCTAACCGCGCCCAACTTACCCCAGCCCAACTTAGCCCAACCTAACTGAGCGCAGCCTGAATTGACCCCACCCAACTCAACCCAACCCCGCCCCAGCGTAAGCTAGCCCAGCTTAACCTCATCCAACTTAACCTCGCCCACCTTAACCTCGTCCAAATTAACCTAGCCCAACTCTAAACCAGCTTAATCTAACCCCATCTAAGTAACCGGCCCCAACTTACTTATCCGGGCCCAACTTAACCTGGTCCGGCTTAGCCTAACCTGGCCGAACCTAACCCGGCTCAAGTTATAACCTAACCCAGCCTAACCTAACCCAGCCTAACCTAACCCAGCTTAACCTCGCCCAAATTAACCTCGCCCAACTTAACCTCGCCCAACTTAACCGCGCCCAACTTAACCTCGCCCACCTTAACCTCGCCCAACCTAACCGCACCCAACTCAACCCGGCCCAAGTTAACCTCGCCCAACTTTACCAGGCCCGCCTTAACCCAACCCAGCTTAGCCCCGCCCGAACCTGACCCAAATTAACCTCACCCGGCTGACCCTGACCCAACTTAACGCGGCCCGACTTCGCCCGCCCAGTCGGGTCGCAGGCTGCGCTTCGCGTCCTTTCTGTTTACTCCCCGTCCGCGCTTACTGGCTGCGTTCGCTGTGGTGTGCCGCAAGAATGCGAGGCCCTGCCCCGTGCTTCTCTCTCGTGAACCACGCGCGGGCGCGTCCTTTCTTGTGGTGGGTCATATCGTGCCCCCATCACGCTCGGAAAGACGCCTAAAAGGAGGCGTTATGAAATGAAGGCGCCTGCAGCACTGCGGTCCTCCTGCTAAATTCTAAAAGCCCGCCTTCGCCTCGGCGTCATCAAAATCCAGGGAAGAACAGAGGTTCTGACTTCGATGCTACCTGATGCCGAAACAAACGAAAACCTGGGGGGCCCAACAATTTACGAAGAGTGAGGGCCACGAAGGTCATTTCAGCGACCGTTGCCTTTTCTAGTTCGGGGCCCCACAACAAGTATTACTCGAGCGTGTGTCAGAAGGTCTACTAATAAGGGACTCGTCTGTCAGATGCTCTGCAATAAAGTAGTACAAAATGGGCTCGTCTGTCAGACGATCTACGCTTTTTTTGCTTTCTCTGCTTTGCTGGCTCGGTGGTCCTTGTTGTGTGTTTTCTGAATCTCTTGATGCCGCCATCCATTCCGAGCCATCTCTTTATGGACGGGTTCAAAAAGTAGATGTTTTTCAAACGTAATCTTCTATATTTAAGGTTAAGGATGTAATCACTAACTTTTCGTCGAAGATTTACTCTGTTTTCAATTTGAACCATTTGAACTAGGTGGAAAAGTTGAAAGTGCAAACATAGTTTGAAAGTGTATCGATCAAGGACTTCTGAGCTACGACTTCGGCCTCCGCAACGTCGGAAAAAAAGCTATTTTTATTTATATTATTGGTCTAAGAACTGTTTGTTTTTTTCGGTCTTTTCCTAGTTAGTGTGGATCTATTATTAATTGGTCTAAGAGCGATTTTCCATTTACAACTACAGCTATATGTAATTTTCCATTACAGCCTTGACGACCTCCCCAACCCCAAAGGCGCTTCTTTCATTTATACCGAACGACCAACAACAACTACAATTTAGTTGCGAGCAGGAATTCTTCAGATCATGCTTTCGCAGTGTTTGGCTATTTGCCGGAGTGGAGATTTGCCGGTTCTCATTTTGGAGTCCAAGTTCGGCACTACACGCATTTGATTTTTTTCTCGCTGGAGATAGACCCAAACACCGGACGCATAGCCGCAGCCGATCGCTTGACACAACTGCAAAGCGCTCTCTACTATGCGAAAGAAGCAAGGTCTATACAGGACAGCCAAGCAATAAACCCGCCAGGGGATGCTGGGCAAAATTATGGTGGGGAAAAAGTAGAAGCGAAGTAGACTCGTCACCGATGCGACCGTGCTTGAAGAACTAGAACTGCTTTAGGCACAGGCTACGCCGGCCTCAATAAGTCACATCCAATCTATTTCACTTTGGAGCTTTTGCTTCGAAGAAAATGATCCTTCTGCGGCTTGGATTCGTTCTTGTGAAAATATTTCTGAGTTCTCGTAATCCATAGTCTAGACTCCTAGTCTATATGTCCCCGTATCCTATGTCTATCCCTCCAAACAATCCATAGCCCATGCTCTTCTTTCTGTCTTCATTTGCTGACAAGAACGCAGTTCCTCGTTTGTTTCGGTGGCAATGGCAGAAGTGCAGGTTTTTCCGCGATGGTCAGGGACAAGAAAAAGCGGAAGCGGTTCGTCAAAGAGTTGACAACGAAGTTAATTTTTGACGTAGACAATGCATTTGTTAAGGCTGCAGCTCATGAAGCTAAATTGATTCGTGAGCGTGGGCAAAGATTGTCATCTCCCTTCGCAACTGTCGTTTCCTTTTAGGGTAGCTTCAAAGTAGTTCTTAGACTATATATGAGCACTCACCGGAGGCGTTGCACAGGGCTCCGGCCTGCCTTTGAAGGTGAGACCTATGGGGCTGACAGGACGACGATAGCGCCGGCGCTTAGTTAGTTTTAGCAGTTAGCAGGATACTTTTGGATACTTGTTGATAGTTACCCTTTTCTCTTTTATATCTTCCTCTGGTCTGTCTTTTTTCTAGTTAGGTCGGCTCCAACACAACTATAGAAGACTAGTGTATGCACCACGTGTGTGCACGCAGGCGCAACCTCGCAGAGGTAGATGAATGATCTTCGTGAGGAGCTCCTCTAAACTTGGTGGAGGCTTTGACGGTGTGGATTACAATTGGGAGTATCCTGGCTACGATTTTCGGCGTGGCTATCTCCCAGACGCTGAGGTCCGGAAGGACTATGAAGGACTGGGAAGGCTTTTGAAGGATACAAGGAAAATGTTCGACAAAAAGACGAAGGCTGAGGATTTTGAAAGTAGCAGAAGTAGAAGAGTTCTTCCTGATAATGTGGTTTCTACTGATGCAACGAAAGACAGTACCAGTAGCTCCACTGCGAGAGACCAGGCAAGAAAAGATGATAGTACAACCTCCACCACATCAGAGCGTCAAGCACGAAAAACAATTTCTTTAGCCTACTACCCAGATGGCAAGCAGGAACAATTGTTTGCTGCGCATAAGATGATCCTTCAATACACGGATTATTTCCACAGCATGGCCTATGACCAACATGGACGACAGCACTCGCCTTTTTCACTAGCGGAAAAAACCATTGAATATGCCGAAAAATACTTACGGCGCGTTTCCTCAGCGTTGGCGCCTCTCTTAGTTTTCCTCTTTAACAATGAAAAGAGTATGAGCTACTTGGGATATGAGTGGATCATTGTGTTGCGCTTTCTTCCTTAATACTGAAATATAGAGTATGATGAACTACTCAGAAGATGGAAGAGTAATTGTGCTGAGCGTTTCTAAAATTCTTAGGACCAGAAGTTTTGCCAAAGGTTACTTTGGGATTGCCATTTTACGGGAGGAGAGAAAATACGGGAGAATGGATGAGCTACGAAGACATTCTGACGAAACAGTGGGAGAAGCAGAAGGGAAAGGGTTAAGGCCTTTGGCCAATATTGGTCATAGAGTGTAGAAAAATACGAGATTGATTTTTGTCCCGCTCTAAGTGCTTGTCATAGAGACAAGTGTATAAGTGTTAAACTGTGGAGTGCTATTTTGGAAGATGCTAGTAACACACACAACGGGCCACCGCCTTAACGGTTTCGCGAAACACCTAAGGGGCCACCGCCTTAACGGTTTCGCGAAGCACTCAAGGGGCCACCGCCTTAGCGGTTTCGCGAAGCACTGAAGGGGCCACCGCCTTAACGGTTTCGCGAAACACTTAAGGGGCCACCGTCTTAGCGGTTTCGCGAAACACTTAAGGGGCCACCGCCTTAACGGTTTCGCGAAACACTTAAGGGGCCACCGCCTTAACGGTTTCGCGAAACACTTAAGGGGCCGCCGCCTTAAGGGTTTCGCGAAACGCTCAAGGGGCCACAGCCCTGACGGCTTCGCGAAACACTTAAGGGGCCACCGATTTAGCGGCTTCGCGAAAGAAGAGGCCACCGCCTTATCGGTTTCGCGAAACACTTAAGGGGCCGCCGCCTCAAGGGTTTCGCGAAACGCTTAAGGGGCCACAGCACTGACGGTTTCGCGAAACACTTAAGGGGCCACCGCCTTAGCGGTTTCGCGAAACACTGAAGGGGCCACCGCCTTATCGGTTTCGCGAAACACTTAAGGGGCCGCCGCCTTAAGGGTTTCGCGAAACGCTTAAGGGGCCACGGCACTGACGGTTTCGCGAAACGCTTAAGGGGCCACCGCCATAGCGGTTTCGCGAAGCACTGAGGGGGCCACCGCCTTATCGGTTTCGCGAAACACTTAAGGGGCCACCGCCTTGACGGTTCCGCGAAACACTTAAGGGGCCACCGCCTTAACGGTTTCGCGAAACACTTAAGGCGCTGCCGCCTTAAGGGTTTCGCGGAACGCTCAAGGGGCCACAGCCTTGACAGTTTCGCGAGACACTTGAGGGGCCACCGCCCTAGCGGTTTCGCGAAACGTTGAAGAGGCCGCCGCCTTATCGGTTTCGCGAAACACTTAAGGGGCCGCCGCCTTAAGGGTTTCGCGAAGCGCTTGTTTAAGGGGCCACAGCATTCTCGGTTCCGCGAAACACTTAAGGGGCCACCGCCTTAATGGTTTCGCGGAACACTGAAGAGGCCACCGCCTTATCGGTTTCGCGAAACACTTAAGGGGCCACCGCCTTGACGGTTCCGCGAAACGCTTAAGGGGCCACAGCATTGACGGTTCCGCGAAGCACTTGAGGGGCCACCGCCTTAACGGTTTCGCGAAACGAAAACACTTAAGGGGCCACCGCCTCAACGCTTTCGCGATGGTTCCCTCGTGTGTCTCTCTAGAAGGTGACGCCGCCCGCAAGAACGAGCAGAGCGGGAAGCGGATATAGTTCTAACAGAATATCACCGCGAAGGGAGATGTGCAGAAATCGCAAAAAAAGTTAGTAGAAAAAACGCGTGCCCTCGATACTCTCGAAGAAGATAAAGTTGTCTACGGCTACAACGGTCCAAGGATGATAGAGCGGAAGGTCAAACTCGCATGGGAGAAAGGTTTAGGCGGTGTCATGGTATGGGAAGCTGGTCAAGACTGTAGAGCAGAACTTTTGGAGAAGAAGAGTGGAGCAAAAATAGAAAAGCACGTCGCAACATGTGATCACCTCTCTTCTACTGAAAAAAGCGAAGCAGCGTTTTCTTTGAGTTACGCAATCACAAAAGAGCTTGGAAACTTGGGGATGACAAATGATACCAAACGGGGTGACATTGATGATGGGAGGACACATGAGGAATTATGAAAAAAGAAGATATTGTGGTGATGCATTTTGATATTCGCTGTGAGGATATGAATGATACCTTCCAGAAAAGTAGTCCGTCGCAAGTACAACACATTCTCTACGGTGTTTTCATGTTCGCGCGGCTGACACGTTCCTGCGAAAAAAATGTGTTTTCATATGGCGACGTAAGAAATCTTCAGCAGCATTGTTCTGAAATTTTTGGTCCAGTATGAAAAAGACTGATGTGTTATTTTGAGAACGTGATAGGGATTCCGATACTTTTTAACCAGCTTGTTGTTCTGGATGAGTCAATTACTTTTTTTCAGACGGCTTCAGACAATACCTTGTTCATCAGTTTGTCATGGTGACTAACAAATAATATGCGTGAATTGTTGTATCTGTATTTTCTGACATTATATCGTAGTTGTAATTCCAAATAATGATGTTGATGAAAATAGTCAAAACTTAGAAATACCAAAAAATGAAGCCAACTGCATCGCGACGACCTTGCTTTCCTGCTTGCTCGCTCTTGCTGCTGCAGTGTTGTTTCCTGAACAAACATGTCTCCCAAGCAGCACAGATTGTTTCTCGGAGACCATCAAAGGACCTCTCTTCCTCCCCACTGCTTGAAGATGCACAACACTTACCTAGAATCAGAGATGGCACTACGCCAAGAACATTGCAACTTCCAGATGCGGTGTTTGAAGACAAGAGTAGTAGACAATCAGCACCAACTAGCATAGCACAACTACAAGTCGCCCGTGACGCCGATGTTGAAGATGTTGGGATGAAACGACACGCTGATGAAGAGAAGAATCCATTTGGACAGCAAGTAGAGAAGGAAGTAAACGTCGTAGAGGACAAGGCGTCTTCTCCTCTCAATAGTGGAATCATTGTCTCCGTTTTCTCTATGGAGGGAAGCCGACTGCTGGACTATATCTCTGCGCCCAAAGTAGATGTACCGCTACCGTGTCAGTCAAAAAGTACAACAACTACTACTACCAGAGCGAGCTTTACATCAAAAAACTACTCTGCTCAACCAGGATTAGTGGGTGCATTACGCAAAGCAGTGAGTCGCCGTTTGCTGGTAAACGCATCTCGGATTTTACTACTGGCAGGACACTCTATGGATGTAATATTAGATGACGACACGGCTTGTCTCACTGATGTGTTGCGGGTTGTTCACGATTCTGATGGTGATGGGGTCTGTAGTACAGAACCTTTCATAGAGGAGCATGACGAAGAACAACGTTCTCGGGATAAGCAAGTACTAGAACACGAGGACCAACAGGGTGATGAAGATGCTCCCGAGAGCAGCAGGGAAGAAATATATCTTTCGGAGGGAGCGGTAGATTGTCGCTTTAATTCGAAAGAGGTTGAGATGGATACCACTTCTATGGATCTTCCAACAATTACACATGACACTTTGAAACGATCAGCCTCATCATCATCTTCGTCTGACCACGAAGGGAACTACCTTACTCCCAGCAGTCTTACACCTACCGAAGTCCGTCTTGGGAGCGACCTTCAACAACAAGCAATTGCGGGATTAACAGCTCTGCTAGCTAAAACTTCTCGCATTGCTGCAGAACAAGACAGTGCCAGTGACGGTACTAGCTCTAGTAGTCGTCCTAGAATAGGCATATTATCATCTTTGAAGAAATTGCGTGCCGTAGCAGAGGATCGCAGCTTTCATGCCAGTAGCGTCAATTCAGCGGCTTCGACGGCTCGCATATACCCTGGTCCACCTGCTACAAGTAGTACAAATGTCCTTCTTCAGAAGTCTTCAACTACATCGTCAAACCTTCAACTACATCGGACGCCGGCGACATCTTCGTTCTCTAGTAGTGGCGCATTGACGTCGTCGCCATGGTCGTCTGGAACTAAATATCATGAATATCTGGAACTAAATATCGGAAGTTCTTACGGCAAGGTGGTTTTTATCTGAAAATGTTTTTGACTCTATCATCTTCACGATAGTGGAGCATGGCTATCTAAGATGCAATGATGATGATTCGGACTTTTCTCTACTTTCAGTTGTATGGATAGAAGTACTCTTTCATCTGTAGGAAGGAGCATCGATTGGTAGAAAAGCGTTCAAGGAAGATTTTAGCCCTGTTACTAAAAAAGTGAAGGTCAGGGCTAAAGTGAAGGGCGTTGCTCTAATACCTCCGAAGATCCTCATCTTCGGAACAAGAGCATGATCAAGTAGGTTCTTATTGTGCACCTCTGGGATCCTCCTCAGCACCTGCCGTGCCGTTTCCTATGACTTCGACGTCGTTTGAAAGAGCAGAGTTAGGTTCCGACTGTGGACCTGTGACACTTGTGGAGTCGTCGGCTTCATCTGGCAGAAGTAGTAGGAAGAACAGTGGGCGCGAATTGATGGAAAAACCATGTGGTTTTGGACAAGGTGCAGGTGTCTTTCAACAACAACAACAACAACAGCAGGGCAGTAATTCGTCATGCTCGGACAGTCGAGACAGGGGGGCATTGTTCGAGAGAGGGATATTAGAACAGGGCCGCAGCAGTACGCGATTAGAACCCGTGACAGCAGTGCTGCTTGAAAATGCAGAAGGGACACGTGCTCTCTTTGCGGTCTGGCAACAAGAACAACATTTATTTTCTCCAAAAGCACACTCACCCGAGAAGCACTCACCAGAAGAAGAAGAAGAAGACGCTGAACTGGAAGATTTTCTTGGGAGTTCTCATAGTGCAGCGGATTCTAGAGCTACTGCTGATCGTGATCTTTCCTTGTTGTATCACGATCACAAAAGCGCGCAAGAACCACGAAGTCCTTGTGCGGCTAGTGCAGCGGATGTCCCTTCCGGCGAAGTTGACATTCATCTACCCACAAAGGGGAGTTCTCATAGTGCAGCGGATGAGAACAAGAGAAGGTCCACTGCGATTCCCGGAAGTGAACGATTGACGAGAACAGTCCTGGCGTTCTTACGCCGCGGTGCAAATCCAAGACCTGAGGGGGAAACTCCGTTACTGCACTCACTACTCAAGAGTCGGTGCTTATCGAAACGAGCACAACTTCAATTGCTGTTGAGGCATAGTGGTCCGATCGTGGGGCTCTGCTCTGCATCTGTGCTCGCTTGGGAGAAGAATAGAAACGGTAGAAGTAGAAGTGCGCCTCGTCTTGAACGCGGTGGCGATCTATTATGTGCCTCGTCTCCGAATCACCGTGCTTCGACAACCAACTTGAGACTACAGCCACCTGATGAAGCGATTATATCAAGTGCTGAGGAGGAACACCTTGAACATGAACAAGACCCTCTGGTGACTACGACCGCGTTTGAACATGGTGAGAATGGAAACCTCAACAGCTTAGAGAGGGATGGCGAGCTATCTATGCCCGATCTTATTCGTCGTGCGTACGAAGCTGTGACGACCACAGCTGTGGAATTAGAAGTTGCAAGACAACTTGCTGCACCAGCTGGTGCTGCTACGTCATCTTCCGGACTTTTGCATCAAAACACTCCTGTTGAAGCGATACAAAGCGACGTTCACGACCAATCCTCGGTACAAGGCCTACGTCATCTTCCGGACTTCCGAGTTTGTTCGCCTGTCAGTTCCTATTACAGTTCTTCACCTAGAAGTGGGATTCAAAGTGAGACCAACGGGGGAGTGGGTTCTTCACCTGGTCGTCTTGAACGTGATTCAGAAGTTGAAGCTGATTTGCTAGTGAACGAAGAGCTGACGGCATTTTTTGGCCCCAGTACTAGCGGGAAAGAACAAGAAGCAGGTTCAATCTATGACCCTGTAGAGAAACCAAGAAGAGAGGACCTTACTACGCGTGTCGGGAACATCAAGGGAGAAACTGGCCACGAAATGAACGCCGCAGAACCTGACCGCGTAATCGATTGGCTAGACGATATGGTAGCTACAGCGGAGGAATTGATCGCAGAAAACTTGGAAGCTCTAGCAACACTTTTGTCTGTGACGCAACCTCGTCTTCGGAGCAAATTATGCCATGACATTTCTCTACGATCAGAACAAAGTTTGCCTCCGGAACAGCGAAAAAAACTGCACGAAACACTTGTAGGGGTATGCGGGACGGCGGTGGAGATCCACATGAGGTTGATATAATGCAGGGCTCCGACTGTGGAAGTGCGAAAGGTGGAAGATGAACGATTTACATATTATATTTACAGGAGCAAGAACTGGTAGTAATCTCCAGTTATAATGCTTACAACTCCATTCTCGACCGCAGGATTATAGCTAGCTTAAGTAGACCCTCTTTCATTTTTGGTCGATGCTAGAAGTTGTATTTTTTGTCGTGTTTGATACCGGTCTTGCTTTTTTGACGCAGGATTTTCTGTACAAATTGAAATTGAAATTTGTCAAACGACCACTTATCTCACTTTCAAAAAGGCGGTAAATATATCTTTAGGATAGGCAATTCGGTATATCCTTTGTGTATCGACGCCTGGATTACAATTTGCCGATATGGTAGAGAAAACTTTTTAGGTTTCCCTCGTTTTTCTCTCTTCATGATGTATGATAAACAAAACTGGGCGGTGTGTCAAGGAGAGGTGCAACATCGAAGATGGGTTTATCAATGATGAGGCATGGCGTACATCTAGACGGAAAAACGAGTCCCCAATCTAATTTTTTGCCATGTTTCATAAATGAACGAGAATATTCGTTGCGTAGCAGGATCAGTCCTACCATTTTTTGCTTCATTGCAGACAGCAGAACGCACCACTGACTCTGAACTAATTGCTCGTTGGTTCCTCTTATGACGTTCACGTATCTTCGTATGACGAGAGTGCTGTTCTTGAGATGAGTACAGTTTTGCTCGCCCTCTTCCCGATCAAGCGAACGCGGAATTGTCTATAGAATTGAAGCGAACAATGAATAAAATGCGACGACGGCAGCGAGAATAATACTCTAGATATTCATTTTGAGTGCAGCCATCTGTTGTTATATCATCAGAGACCCCAATATCCTCATTTCTCGCCTCGATTCAGGCTTTTTTATCTTTCGGTATGACATTGACGTAGAAGTTCTTGTTTTTTTCTGTATCGAAAACACATTAACGTTTACTACCTACATATAAGAGAATTTGTCCCCCTTTCTTTGAACATTTCAGTAAGTAGTTGGAAAAAATGTCACCAGCCAGGAAGCTGATTCAGCGTTTCTCAGCTTGTCGTGCTTGCTATAATACGCATCGTGTACCTGCTGGAGTGCCGTAGTGCGACGGGCGTCGTTGGACAATTCGACACCAAACAAACCAAGACAGAGGTGTGGATTCGTGTTTCTGTGTTCCACATCCTCACATCCGCCTTCCAAAGGTCAGCCACTTTTACTTAACCAAGCGCCGTCTGGGCATTTCAGTCCTAAGTACTTACGTCTTCTCGCACCAGAAGGAAAAAATGAGGCAAGGTGGTGGGACAACTTCCTCTTCGCGCGGGCGCGCGCGGCGTGAGGAAAAGAGTGGGGCGTCGGGGGAGCCAGCAGAAAGTAGTGAGACGGAATATAGTGAGTGGGACCGAAGGTCAGGGCAGGAATCTGGTGCAGGCGGCGACCCAGGAGGGAATCGAGATGGAACCGAAATGAGACAAAGAATACACAAAACGACGAAGCAGAGGAATCAGGAATCCCAACTACCTGTAGTGCTTGAGGCAAACGCGGCTTGGGATCAGAAGAAAGTGCGGTCAATACGGGAACGCTTTTTCTACGGCAACATCATGATCGGAACCTTCTGCTTTATCATCGCCATGGGACACCTATACTTATCCTGTCTGGTCATTGCGATTACGGTTGGCATCTTTCACGAGATTATCACACTGAAGAGGAATAAGGAGAAAGATAATAAGGTAGTTGGATACGTACTTGAACAGGACTGATGGTAGCGTAGAATAACAAGGTAGTTGGATACGTACTTGCAATGATGTCGTCAACTAGAAGGATTTTCGGTGCAATTCAAGTCCTGGTGGCGTGAATAGGACTGATGGTAACGCGTGGGTATAATTGTTCCACGAACTTCTTATAGTCTTTCCATCGAGACCTAGACAAATAAGATGTCAAAACCTACTCACCACATATTCCCAACAGATCCCATGGTTCCTTACGTTACGATGGTACTTCTTCGGCCTCGGCGAGTTTTACGCGATAAAGAGGTTTCTGCCAGCTTCTACGGAGTTAGAAAATAGGATACTCGAATACGGAGGCAGAATACCTTATCTGCTCTTTGTGAAGTACTACAAAAATTGCTTTAGAGACAGAACCACAGGGTTTTCTGTTGTGTTCTGCTGTTATGAGTCGATTACGATTTCTTGTTCGTTGTCGTGAAAGTGTTGGAGCATGACGAATCTTTTCTCGTGCCAGCGGAGCCATTGTGCCTCTTTTTTGAATTTCACATCTACAACCACCCTCCCTCCACAACAGGTATTTCACTTTCACGATCTATGTGGGGTTTATTGGCGGAATAATTTTCTTCGTGCTGTCCTTGCGGAAGTTCACGCTCCGATATCAGTTCAATCAGTTAGGGTGGACGCTGCTGACTGTCTTGCTCATCGTAATGCAAAGCTGTGCGCACGTGAGCAACATATACGCAGGCTTAGTGTGGTTCTTGGCCTCAACCACATTGGTTATCACCAACGACATCTTCGCATACATTAAGAATGAAGATTTAGTCTCAAATTAGTCCAGTGGCAGCCTGAAACCCTACGGTCGTCACGAAAGGCGATATCAGGGCAACAAACATGACATGCCTTTGATAGTTTGTGGAAGGACGAGGTAGAAATAGATGCTTTCTTGTGTATCCTAGTAGGGGTGAACTAATGATGTCAACTAATGATTAGCAGTGATCAATGTAATAAAGTCTTTTTTATTTTTCCCCTATGAATGATCCCTAGCATCCCCTATGATGATGATCCCTCTCCTACAACTTGCCCTCTTTCATACCTCTCGTCGGCATGCGATTTGGACGAACGCCTTTGATAGCGCTTTCTCCGAAGAAGACCGTCGAAGGATTCTTTGGAGGATTCATCTTTACCTGCATATGGGCAGTATTTGCAGTGAATATTCTCTCGAGGATGGACTTTTTCCTGTGTCCACAACCGGACTTGGTGACTTTGCCGTTTTCGGGATTGCACAGACTGGAGTGCGACGAGGTATTTCTAGATTTGGACCGTCGGATTTTTTTGTGGTGTAGTTATAACACGACGGAAATATGAATCCTATGAAATTTAGGAGAAAGGAAGATGAACGTCAAATTACACTTAAAACATGGCAATAAATGTTTTCGTACCGCTTCATGTCAGCTTCTACTCACCACAGGAGTGGAAAGCCGCGTTCTTTAAAACGGTCCGCATCCCGTTTAGCGAGTTGGAAGTCACTATGATTTCGATACACGCTATGGTCATGGCGCTTTTCGCATCTCTAGTGGCACCATTTGGCGGGTTCTTTGCGTCAGGTATCATTTCACGTATAATGCTTTGGCGAAGATGAACATGATCTGTTTACTCTTGATCTTCTGCATCTCCCGAAGAGGAGGCGGATTCGGTACGAGCAGCACTACGATTATTAAAGCTCAGCATTCAATGGTCACTGATGCTGAACAGAGGAGACCCCCTTCAAAGCTCTCCCCTTTCCCTTCCTTTTCCCCTGTTCTCTAAAGGGGTCGCTTCTTCGATCTCAGTGACCAACCCCAATGCTTTGGCGAAGATGAGCATGATCTGTTTACTCACATTCAAAGAAAACATTGTCTTTGAAAGCGTGCTTTTAGGATACATCAGCTTTCCACCACAGGTTTCAAGCGTGCTTTTAGGATAAAGGACTTTGGAGATTTGATTCCTGGCCATGGTGGGCTCACCGATAGGATGGACTGCCTCATCGTGATGGGACTTTTCTGCCATGTGTATTTGAACACGTTTGTCTCTTCCAACTCCGCCGTCAGCCTGGAGATGACCAAGCGCCTAGCAGAGAGCTTAACGCCAGAAGACAGGCAGAAACTGATGAGCCATTTGCTGGCATTGGGGAGGGGTAGATAGTTACGCTTGGGAGCGGCGTTTTAGTTACCCATGTTACCTTGGAAAAATACGCTTGCGAGCCTGTTTCCAGCCCACAAATAGGCTTGTAGCCTTTCCCTAACCCTAAGCCCACCAAAAAAACCTCGCATTGGGCTTTTCTAGCCGCTACACGGCGATTACCTCCAGGAGGTACACGGCGATTGCTGAAGTTTTCGAAGTCACTTGGATAGGAGGTGTTCGTGTTCTGGTTTGTCCAGTGTGAAGATGCTAAGCAGTTCTTGTAGAAAAACCATTGTGGAGATGAGGGAACAAGAACCCAGAGGAATTTCATGTTTATGCTATTATATGTAGTTGGCTAAAAGATGAGGGAAGCATTGAAGGGTGAATCCTAGAGTGAGCCGTTGAGAGAGCAAGAGCGGATGAAAACCGAGTCGACGTTTCATACCTACGTAGTTACCTATCATATTAATGTACTAGCTGAGTCCTCTGCAAATGGTAACTTCATAGCTTCTTACGAGAATGTCGGAGCACTACTTTTCAGATCTTGCTTCGCCACATGCTTCCAGATCTTGGAGACTTGGTAGCCGCAGTCAGCAATCCAGCGGAAGTCAGCGCATGCCTGTAAGCGAAAGATGTCCGGGTGAGAGGAGGAGAGGAACGATGACGGGTGTCACGAAACATGATTATGATTTTCAACTGCTCATATCAACCATGGAAATACTGTGCTCCAAAAATGAGCTTTATTATTATTACGTTTTGCGTGTGTGGTACTATAATCTTCACTAGGATATTACATCAGAACTTGGCATTCTCGTGAGGAATGGTCATTTCACGGGATCATCAAGGCATGCTACTACAGGCTCCCTAGTAAATCTTCTTCCCTCGTCGTCCCAAAAAATAAATCTAACTTTACAAGAAGAGACGGCACCGCTTACTCTCAGCGGCATCCTCTACTTGGTTCGCGATGCTGTCGTCACTACCACTACCACTAATTCCAGAAATGGTCCATGCTGCAGATGCGCCACCTGGTGGAACTGGGAGTAGTTCGTCCTACCTAGGTGGGATCTTTGATCTATTCAAAGGTGTCACCCAGACCAACCAAGTGAGCAATTTCTACACGGCAGAACTCAACTTAGATGAAGATGGTTTCAAGACTTTGATGGCAACGAAGAAGATGGCTGCGGTGCTGTTTTTTAGTCCGACCTGCGTCTATTCGCATGCTTTGCAGCCCATATGGGATCAGGTACACATGATTAGTTTCCTAGTACTTACTTGTTGCGTCCAAATACTATATCCACTAAGTGGACGAGTCCAGAGTCCTGCGCAAATATTTATCCCATCAAGGTCGCTCGTAAGATGGAAACAAAAGTTCCGGTAGTGCGTGTAGATGCAACCACGCAAAAAGGCGCAAGGTTGCAGAAGTACAAGCTTGCGGAGTCCTACCCTGGCTATCCTTCCGTGAAGTTGATTGTTTTATGGCATTTTGAAGACTACTTTTTTGGAAATTTTGAACTTGATGAATAGTACTTCTAGATTGCTCCAATGCGCGCGTAGTACTTCTAGATTGCTCCAATGCGCGCGTAGTACTTCTAGATTGCTCCAATGCGCGCGTAGTACTTCTAGATTGCTCCAATGCGCGCGTAGTACTTCTAGATTGCTCCAATGCGCGCGTAGTACTTCTAGATTGCTCCAATGCGCGCGTAGTACTTCTAGATTTTCTTTCTTCTTATCCTTGAGGAAAATGGATAGAACTTGCTGAGTAGAGCTACTGAACTTTTTTCGCTGAGGATGAATAAGTGGGACCAAGAATCATGGCTGCTTTTTTTCTACCACATTCTACGCCCCATTCCCCAATGATTAGAACTAAGAGACATCCACTTTCTTCTAATCCCCGAGGACGGCGGGCGAACGGACATTTTTGAGTACGAGCCAAAAGGATACCGGACGACCATGGAGACGTTGTGTAGTTGGCTCCAAAAGCACTTAACAACTGGGCTCGAGGTACACTCACTCGCAGAATTTCGCTCCTTTCATTTCCAGAATCCGCTCTTCGTCGTGGGTCTGTTTGATGATGATACCCCAGTAGATGCGCCAAGGAACGGCTCGGATACGACTACGAGTTCTTAAGATCATATATAGTCTGGCTTTTAGACTATAAGTATATATTTACAAGTCGCCGGCCGTGTCGTTAGGCCTTTGAAACAAGTAAGACCGGCAAGAAGAAAATAAAAATCAAAGCCAAAAAAAAAATAAAATCGCGAAAGAAATCAGTGGGAGAGAAATGGCATCCGTTCAAGCAAGGCATCGGTGAAGTTGAAAGATCTGGCAAAGGTCTGCCCCACGTCTGCGAACTTTTGCAGCGGGGGGGAGGAAATCAGTAGCAGCAGCAGCAGCGAAGCGCCGTGGGAAGGCGTAAAACTCATCCCATCGGTAGCTCCATTGTGGAAAAGTCGACACGTTTTCAGGGAAAGACGTGAATAAAAAGTCCTTTACTTCGATATGAAGGCGTGAAAAGCGTACCGCCCCGAGAATGCGCGAAAAGCGCTTCGACTCGAGATGGCGTAAAAAGCGCTCCGCCTTGCGCATGGCGATAAGTGCGCCCCTCTGCGCCTATTTCCCTGGGCTTGGTGTCTCTGATGCCATTTGTGGGGAAAAAGGTCGCGGAGGTGTGTCGCGAAGCTATGGCAAATATGCCGTCTTTGAATTCTTAGTGCAGTAATTTAGAGACTTTAGTAAAATGGTGACAGCGTCTTTATAACAAAGCGCGCAGGTGAGCTTTTACCACATTCACGCAACAGGAAGAGAGAAGGAGCACAACTATAGTCGCAGAGCTGTCTTATAGTTTTTAGATAGTAGGCCGCGGTGTATTATTTGGATTACATAAGTGCTAGCCTTGAGTACGAACGTAGAGTGGCGGCATTTAGCGTGGTGCGATCAGTATAGCCGGACGCGATTATCTTTAATCTAAATCAATGTAGAAGTAAACTAATACAGAAAAAATAGATAGTCCTTGTCAGGTAGCTAAACGGCCCCCCGTGGTGCTATCAACCCAAAACGTAAAAAATTTCTTATCGGTAAAAGCGAGCCAATATATAAAAACTTGAACGACAGTCGGACACAATGAAAGTGGGGACAGTTAGCAATTGGATAAATCAAGTACCTAACTAAGTTGTCGGGGTAGGCATGGTTCTTCGATAGTTTTCTGTTTTTAGAGTCTTGCGGTAGTTGTCAAATAGATAGATTGCAAAAAAATGGATTCTGACAACAATGACGCGGCGGAAGTAGTAGAGGAGTCGGAGGCTGTGGAAGAGGATGCGGGAGGAGAGGACGAAGAGGATTACACGCAATCCACCGCAGAGGAGCAGGCGAGAAAATTAGAAGCGGAAGCCAATGCACTATGGGAGGCGGAAGAAGATAGGAGGAACATGGAGCAAGACGAGGAGGATTGCAAGGCCGCAACACGACTGGGAATAGATGGATACGATCCCGACGCAACTCTAGGGGAGCAGCTCCATTGTGAACTCCGGGAAAGTGATCGACAGGAGCGCATTCTGAGCTGGGAACAGCGTAAGCAGTTACGTGAGGCCAATATGCGGGAGCGGGGAGGACGAAGAAGCCAGAAGATGAAGAGGAAGCAAAGGAAAAAGAAGAAGAAGCCGCCACGAAAAGAGGAGAAGCTGAAGGAGGTCACGAAGATGCCGCCTGAGTTAAGGGCTTCGGGGTTGCATTTTTCACAGGTCGTAAGCTTTTGTTTTTTCTCAAGTGGAAAAGAACAAAAGGGCTAAGGACGTTCAGGAGAATAATGTAGCCCCAAAAATTTCTAACCATGGGCGCGAGTGTGGGACAGGTGCGAAACTGGAGGCGGAAGCAGAGGAGAATGATGGAAAGCCAGGAGGAGAAAGAGGCGCGGAAGATGAAGAAAGACGCGAAGAAGAAGCAGAAAGCCGACAAAAAGGCAGAACGAGGAGCAGAGAAACCGAAGAAGAAGAAGGCGCGGGACGTTGGTGGGGCTCCAAGTCATTGCCTAGTACGTAAGCAACGAAGGAAGAAAAAGAAGGAAGAGGCAGAGAGGGGCGCTTAAAGCGGGCCCGTTTTTATGTATTTGATAGTTCGGCCCGTATGTGTTTTAATCTTATTGTTACTTCTGTAAGTGGCACCATTCTGCTCTTAGTATGGTTCGTCTAGGTTGTAGGAAATTATAATGCCCTCCCTCGGGAAGGCGTAAAACTTGCTCCGCCTCCATCGGGAAGGCGCAAAACTCGCTTCGCTTTGGGTAGGCGTAAAACTTATCCCGCCGTAGGATTGATGGCAAAAAAGTCGGCCCGTTTGCAGGGGAATATGTTAAAAATTTCCTCGTCTCGCGATGGCGTAAAAAGTGTGCCGCCCCGAGAAGGTGTTAAAAGCGGTCCGCCCCGAGATGGCGCAAAAAGCGCCCCGCCTTGCGCACGGCGATAGGTGTGCCTCTGCGCGCCTATTTTTCTGGGGTTGGTGTCTCTGATGCTGTCCCAGAGGAAAAGGGCCGCGGAGGTGTGTCGCGAAGCTATGGCAAATTTGCTTTTTTTGAATTCTTAGGGCAATAATTTTGAGACTGCATAAAAACAGCGATGGCGCCGCTATGATATAGTGACCCGAGACGTTGCGATAGTTTCGCCTCGGGAAGGCGCAAAATTCGCCCCGCCTCGGGAAGGCGTAAAACTCGTCCCGTCCTTGGTAGGCGTAAAACTCCTCCCGCCGTAGGATCGATGGCGAAAAAATCGGCCCGTCTCTAGGGGAAGACGTTAAAAATTCCCTCGCCTCGCGATGGCGTTAAAAGCGTGCCGCCCTGAGAAGGCGTTAAAATCGCTCCGCCCCGAGATGGCGAAAAAATTGTTCCGCCTTGCGCATGGCGATATATGCGCCCCTCTGTGCCTATTTCTCTGGGGTTGGTGTCTTTGATGCTGTCCCCGAGGAAAATGGTTGCGGAGGTGTGCCGCGAAGCTATGGCGAATCTGCTTTTTTTGAATTCTTAGGGCAATAATTATGAGACTTCAGCAAAGCGGTGGCGGCTTCTTTATGGCATAATGCTGACCCGAGACTCTGCCCCGCCTCGGGAAGGCGTAAAACTCGCCCCGTCTTGGGTAGGCGTAAAACTCATCCCGCCGCAGGATCGATGGCGAAAAAGTCGGCCCGTCTTTAGGGGAAGACGTTAAAAATTCTCTCGCCTCGCGATGGCGTTAAAAGCGTGCCGCCCTGAGAAGGCGTTAAAAGCGCTCCGCCCCGAGATGGCGAAAAAATCGTTCCGCCTTGCGCATGGCGACATATGCGCCCCTCTGCGCTTATTTCTCTGGGGTTGGTGTCTCTGATGCTGTCCCAGAGGAAAATGGCCGCGGAGGTGTGCAGCGAAGCTATGGCAAATTTGCTTTTTTTGAATTCTTAGGGCAATAATTTTGAAACTTCAGCAAAATAGTGGCTGTCTCTTTATGGCATAATGCTGACCCGAGACGGTGCGAGAGTCTCGCTTCGGGAAGGCGCAAAACCCGCCCTGCCTCGGGAAGGCGCAAAATTCGCCCCGCCTCGGGAAGGCGTAAAACTCGCCCCGTCTTGGGTAAGCGTAAAACTCATCCCGCCGTAGGATCGATGGCGAAAAAATCGGCCCGTCTTTAGGGGAAGACGTTAAAAATTCTCTCGCCTCGCGATGGCGTTAAAAGCGTGCCGCCCTGAGAAGGCGTTAAAAGCGCTCCGCCCCGAGATGGCGAAAAAATCGTTCCGCCTTGCGCATGGCGACATATGCGCCCCTCTGCGCCTATTTCTCTGGGGCTGGTGTCTCTGATGCTGTCCCAGAGGAAAATGGCCGCGGAGGTGTGCCGCGAAGCTATGGCGAATTTGCTTTTTTTGAATTCTTAGGGCAATAATTTTGAGACTTCAGCAAAACAGTGGTTGTTTCTTTATGACATAGCGACCCGAGACATGGCGATAGTCTCGCCTCGGGAAGGCGTAGAACCCGCCGCGCCTCGGGAAGGCGTTAAACTCGTACCACCTCGGGAAGGTGTTAAAATCGTCCTGCCTCGGGAAGGCGTAAAATTCGTGCCGTCCCGTCGGGGAGGTGCGAGAGAAACTCGCCCAGCCTCGGGAAGGCCCAAAACCCGTCCTGCCTCGGGAAGGCATTAAACTCGTCCGGCCTCGAGAAGGCTTAAAAAGCGCTCCGCCTCGAGATCATGGCGTGAAAGGCGCTCTGTCTATGGCGTGGCATACTACGCGCTCCCCCTGCGTCTGCTTATGCGGGGGAGGAGTTCGGCTTTGGAGAGAAATAACCGGGGAGAGAAATAACCCCCTACATTTTAACCCCGTCACCCATGGAAAGACAGTCCCCACTTTTTTCATGTTGAAGGTTGAGGTAAAAAAAAAAAGGGCAGCCGCTCAATAGTATAGGCCGTATCTTAGAGCTGTCAGAGATAAAGTAAAAAACCTGGCAGAGTTTGGAGGAGTGTTGAAGGTTCTGGGTGAGGCTATATGACCGCACGCGTCGCGGGAAGTGTTTGCGAAAAATGGCAGCGCGGTAGGATGTTTCTGGAGTAAAAGCGCGCGCCTGTCGGTCTTCGGGTGTGTTTTCGGTAGTCGGTTTGGTGTTTGGATGCTTCAAAATCTAAAGAAGCGAGGACGTAGCGCAAGAGAGGCGCTTGGCTATTGTGCTGTGGCTTTTTCGGTAGTTCTTAAAAAACGGACGTGGCAGTGTATCGGTGAACAGGTCACGCATCAAAGTGAGACGCGTGTGGCTTTTCTGTGGTCACTCCTCGCGCAAAAAAAGGAAACTCATGCATAAGAGGAAAATAGAAGGGAAAGGACATAAATAGCAAGGCTTTGAGGATTATAGAAATAACGAACGAAAGTAAGCCTAATCTTGAGGAGTTGCATAAGGGGAAAAAACACAGGTAGCAGCTTCATAGAAGTACGGAACTACGTAGAGACCTTTGGCACTAAAGTAAACAGCTTGTAGTAGTGTTTTAGTGAAAAGGGGCTGACAGTCTGGAGGTGGTAGAGCATGTGGTAATGGTAGGCATTTAGGCGAACGCTCAGAGTGTGAAAAATTCTAAGGCATAAACTTTTAGGAAACAAATAGAAAAAGATGGATTTGGGCGGCCAAGCGGGTGATAAGTTGAAGGCACTTGGAGAGGCCTGCGAGACGATGGGAGAGGAGTGGGAGACGTTTGGAGAGGATGAGGAAGCGGGAGACGATTATGAGGATGCGGGAGAGGATTGGGAGGCAGCAAAAGAGGAACATGCGCGAAGACTTGAGGCGGAAGATAATGAATGGTGGCTAAATGAAGAAGAAGAAAAAGATATGAAACAGTTCGAGGAAGAAAAGAAAGATGAGAAGCGTCTTGGGATCGAGGGCTATGACCCTGATGCAATGGTAGGCGATGGGCTGCACTGTGCGCTTCGTGATACCGATCGGCAGGAGAGGATTCTCAGCTGGGCGCAGCGTAGGCAATTGCGCGATGCTGATAGAAGGGAAGGCCTAGGAGTGCGGAAGCCAAAGGAGAAAGGCAAACGCCGAAAAAAGAAGAAGAAAAAAACAGCACCAAAAGAGGAGAAAGAGGCGACGCCGATGCCTCCCGAGTTAAGGCATTTGGGATGCATTTTTTGCGTGTTCTTAGTTTCTTGCATTTGTCCAAAGAAAAAGAAAGCGACAGGCTAAGAACGTGCGGGGAATGTAGTCCCGACATTTCTAACAGAGGGATCGAGCGTTGCGCAGATTCGAAAATGGAGAAGAAAGCAGAGATACGCCATGGAAACCAAGGCGGAGAAAGATAAACGGGAAGCGGAGAAGAGTGCGAAGAAAGCGAAAAAAAAAGCAGAGAAGAAAGCAAAAAAAAAAGCGGACAGGGAGAAAGGGATAGCAAAAAAGAAGAAGGAAAAAAAGAAGGATTCTAGTGGGGCTCCAAGTCATTGCATTGTGCGTAAAAAACGACGGGAAGAAAAAAAAAAAATGAAACAGAAGAAAAAAGAACTTAAGTGACCTTGGTAGACTTTAGAAAGATGCTGAAAAATTTGAAAGGGACTACATTGGTATGGGCAGCGTATTTGTATGCTTTTTTAGTTTTCTTTGAAGTAAGAAATAAAGCGAAAAATAAGGGAGAGAGTAAAAGTAAGGGATAAAAGAAATAAAGAGAGGGGAGATGATTTGTTTTAGGTTTTTGAAATCGTGCAACGACTGAAGCGCACCGAACCACAAGAGACCTCAGACTGATGATGGTGTGCCATCGATCTTCGAAAAAGTTGGGCACTTTTTGAAACCTTTTGAAGCATTTCAAATAAATAACCATATACGCTAACAACTAACCTAATACACTGAAGTGAACTCTTAGGCTGTATGTTACTACTCAAAAGTAGTGCACTGCGATCATAGTGATCCAGTGGGATGGATTTTTCAAAAGAAGCTATCTGTTATTGTTGCTCGAATAGTAAGACAGTTGGCCGATGTCAAAAGTGTAAAGGAGATAAATAACCCCTCTAAGCTTTTTCTCTTGTCCCATGGCTTGGGGTGTCTCCTCTCGAAGTGGTAGCAGTAGAGCGCATAGCCGGCAGCTTTTCAGTTGACGACGAGGGTAGAAGTGTGAAAAAGTAGGGAGTCGCTCACGGTTGAATGGAGCATCTACTTGCCACCCGTTGCAGACAGCCCTGGCTGCGTTCTCTTATTTCTTTAAAAAAAATGATGAAGAATAAAATGACGAAGCGCATGGATTGCCAACGGAGTGGCGTAAAGAGTTTTTGCGTGTAAGTGAATGAAAATCTTCGCCAGTGAGTTCGAATCAAATTAGAGAAGTGGCGGCGACGTCGGGCCATACTTGGCCTCGGATGAAAAACGTAAAGTGCCTGGAGTGGCTTTGGCGGTTTTAGTTTTTTCGGTCTTTTTCTGTGCTGTCGGTTATGGGAAGCTGTGGATGGCGTGTAGAATCTTTAAAAAGTTGCGCGGAAGTTTTTTGCATGAGGGTGGTAACGTTTCCGATCGTATTACATTGAATGAAAAAAAAAATGAGGGGCCGTGGATTTTCGTGACGTGTCACGCTCTGTGGCTAGTGCTTTCAAATGGGTGGAAAGGTT